ATTTCCATTTATGTCTCTGGAGAGTGTTGTCATAAACACCTCACCTGGCACTGTTGAGTCCTGAGTTCGTGCTGTAAATAGCTGAAGTGTGGGGTCTGGTTTTAGGTTATAATTTTTGTTTTGCACCAAAAACAGGGACAGATTCCTTCCCTTTGTATGCAGGGCTGACAAAGCACAGCACACAGGAGGAAGTGAAGCTGCTGCCATCGGAGTCTTCCCTTGCAGCCTCCCTTCTTCTAGCCCTCGCCCTGAAACTATCCCCAGCAGGGCTGGATTCACCATTGGCACCAACAAGACCAGCCTTCTATGCAGAGTGCTCTGATGATATTATCTGAGCCCATTGAGATACATGGTCTGATGAGTATTCATGCGTTCATGGGGAAAATTAACAATATCTGATCTCTTCACCAGGGATGGTAACTCAATTCACCTTGGGGGCTAGCCCTAGACCACTGGGAATATTTATCTGGAACTTTGAGTTGAGAAAGATTCTGAGAGGTCAGTAGATAGTGCCATATGAAGCCAAGTGCTGTGGCCCAAGCCTGTAATCCCAGCATTTTGGGAGGCTGAGGCAGGAGGATTGCTTGAGGCTGAGAGTTCAGGACAAGCCTGGGCAACATGGGGAGATGCCATCTCTCTCTAAAATAAATTAGCCAGGTGTCGTGGCACACGGCTGTGGTCCCAGTTACTTGAGGGGTTGAGGTGGGAGAATCACCTGTGCCCAGGAGGTTAAGGCTGTAGTGAGCCATGATCATACCACAGCCTGGGCGACAGAGTGAGACCTGTCTCAAAAAAACCAAAACAAACAAACAAAAAAAAACCCAACATTCCCTGCAGTTCCATCTGCAGGAAATGCAGAATGGGGAAGTGGCTGCATACATGCCCCCATCCTTCTCTCTAAACAGCTAGGAATTCTTTCTCAGCTCAGATAGGTCCTTGGCTTTCAGTGTCAAAAGGATCTGTTTTGTGGCCTCTGGCTCATTCCCACAGGACCTTCCCATTTGCTAATTTTGCTAGGAGCTAGAAAGAGACCCTTTCTGCAGCCTACTTTTCCCTTTTAGAAAGACCCCTAAATGCATCACCATGAAACCTGAAGAACTCAGATGGCATCATGGTAGCATGGGCGGGGAGCTTACTGGGAACAGGGAGCTTTTCATAACTATTCCAAATAATATCCCCCTGTGTATGCACAAGGGCTGTGGGAACCATAAAAATAACTTTTATTTTGCAATTACTTTTTTCCCTCGCTGTAAGGTAAAGGTTAATTTTAAGGTGATGTGAAATCTTTGGACTAAGTTTCAAAGTTTCCGTCTTTGGCATTTTAGCCCTGCAGTCACTCAGACATAAGAACGCCTTCCCTACTTCCTTAAGAATGGTGCCTTGCTTGCCGAGAAACTTGCTCTTTAGCAAAACCTGCACGTTTTTTGATAATGAAAATCTATATATGTATTGAGGGCTACCCTTCTCAGCAGCAACAACAAAAATGTGTAAAACAATTGTATTATTGGAATTAGAATTGAGGAGAGGCATTTAAGAGATTTTTACTTTTGGAAAATGTGTATAAAATTAAAACATGAGTAGGATCCAGCTTCTGTGTCATTGATCCTATCTTGAGATTGATTCATATAATGACAATGCTAGCCAGCTTTTCCTGAGCAGAAGAATCGCACATGTATTATTTTGTCATCACAGCTAAGGTACGTGCATTTAATTATTTGTATTCTAAAATGGGAAAATTGAGATTTAGGAGAATAATCTAACCAAATAACCCAAAGCCAAACCCGGGAAAATTTCAGAGTCTGGAGTTGAACTCAGGTAGGCTTGCTTCCAAAGCTCTTTGCTATAATCCTACAGTGCCTTTTTCTAGCTGTTGAGAATTAATTAGACATCCCCAAAACTTGCATTTTTAAAAGAAAATTATTTTAAAGCCATTGTTTTAATATCCCAATAGATATTCACAAAGGTATAATATTTTATTATAAATAATCAATACCATCAATACAATAAATTTTACCATAGTATTGCCAAGCCTTAGCTCTAAACCCCTTTGATTCTATCTTTAAGTAGAATTTAAGTGTAAGAGCTGAATATCTATGTACTCTGTTTTTTCAGATAGAGAAAACAACTCCTTTGCAGTTTGAATAAAGGTATATATATGGAGGCCAGTCCCACAACTCATCAGTGTCAATGGGTATTGCCAACAGGATACTAGAAGAGATTGGGGGAGGTACAATTATTTGATCTCCAGAAATCTGTTATTGGAAACCAACCCTGGTAGCCATTAGTGGCCTAAACTATTTCCAGTATTCCACCTCCTTAGTCCCTTGCAGATGCGTGGACCCATGTGACCAAGCAGAAGGGATGTGAGTCACCTCAGACTTGCATATTTAATTGCCAGTGTGAGACTGTCCAAAGTCTTCCTTTTGACATGACAACCAGGAAATTTGAGATATTCCCTGAGCCACTACAATAAATAGAACTTACCTGCTGACCCACTGCAGCCATTCAACATGCAGAATAAATATATTTGTGTAGCCATAAGCCATGGACACTATGGAGTTGTGACTACAGCCTAACTTAGCCTATTCTGACTGTTGCACCAACCAGAAGAAACAGCTGAATGCAGGCACTACATCATAAATGGTTGTTTTCCATTGTAAAATTCAGACGGTTTAGATCCCCAGAGTGCAGGTAGTACTGGCTAGGCAATTGAGCACATCCCATCCCTAGAAATAGCATGCTAAAATAAAATAGTTTTCACTTATTTAGGAAACAGGAGAAAGCAAGGATCTCTAGGCACATAATAGCCAGCCCAGATTTGCAGGTATTTCTAACACTTATGAGAGCCAAAACAACCAAAAGCGATTTAGTGTTAAAACTCTCAGAGGCAGCTGAGTGCGGTGGCTCAAGCCTGTAATCCCAGCACTTTGGGAGGCCGAAGTGGGCGGAACACTAGGTCAAGAGATCGAGACCATCCTGGCCAACATGGTGAAATCCCATCTCTACTAAAAATACAAAAATTCGTTGGGTGGGGTGGCGCGTGCCTGTAGTCCCAGCTACTAGGGAGGCTGAGGCAGGAGCATTGCTTGAACCCAGGAGGTGGAGGTTGCAGTGAGCCGAGATTATGCCACTGCACTCCAGCCTGGCGCCTGGCGACAGAGTCTCACTCTGTCTCAAAAACAAAATAAAACAAAAAAACTCTCAGAGGCTATATAGTGGGGATGGCAAGCTCAAATGCTATGGGGCCAGCCAGGAGATATACGTGAAGGTTATTTAGCCTTCCTTTACTATAATAAAAATAACAGTGAGGCTCAGTGGCAGCTGAAATTCAACTGCTGGGTTGGGGAAACAATAGGGAGTTTTAGGGGAGCAGAGAGAAGGCCTTGAATAAGCAGACCTGAAGCACATATGCCCAGACTAAAGAGGGAGCCTCTATTCTGCTCTGGAATGTGCCCTGTGTGGCCGGAACTTCTGTACTCTGCTGTTGGGGTTATTTAAACCCTGGTAAGAATCAGAAAGCTCTGGCTTGAAGACTGAAATAATACTACGATGTCTTCAGATGCTTATTTTACAAAACAACTTAAAAGATAACAGTAGAGATGGGGAGCCCCAGTTTAGTCCTAGAGCTTGGGTTTGTCTTAATCATACTTTAAATTGCAGTGTTGGTAGCCACATTGGGCTTGAGATGAACTGAGGCCCAGAAATGCAAGAATGTACCAGTCGGGATAGGTAACATGATGTGGTTTTAATTTATGGTACTAGTTTACAGTCCAGTAGAAAATGGGAGATTGAGTCATTCTGGGAGAACTAGACCCATAAAATTCACTTTAAAAGTATATGTTGTTAGAAATCAAGAAATATGACCTAACCCATAGTGCAATACATGTTCATCCATGTCTACAAAAGCAATAGTATAGTGTAGCTTAATTCTATTTATACAAAATAAAGGAAACTTGAAATTCTCTAACACGAAATTTGAACTGTTAATTGGGCAAACAGAGGAAGAGGGACAGTGAACTAAAGACGTGGGCTGCACATGTAAATCGACAGACTTACTACAAATTCCAAATGGATAATATAGAAGGACTTGATGACACATAATCTTGTGATTCTTTATGTGTGCATGATTTTTCAGAAGACTGCATGGCTAGAGTGTAATCTTGAGATGAAGAGACGTCAAGTTAAAATTTAATAACCAGACTGGTAGCCAGGCATGGTGGCTCATGCCTGTAATCTCAGCACATTGGGAGGCCGAGGTGGGCAGATCACCTGAGGTTGGGAGTTCGAGATCAGCCTGATCAACATGGAGAAACCCCATCTCTACTAAAAATACAGAATTAGCCAGGCGTGGTGGCTAATGCCTGTAATCCCAGCTACTGGGGAGGCTGAGGCAGGAAAATCACTTAAACCCAGGAGGTGGAGGTTGCAGTGAGCCAAGATCATGCCATTGCACTCCAGCCTGGGCAACAAAAACAAAATTCTGTCTCAAAAAAAACAACCAGATTGGTGTAACTGAAATACTCTGGCTCAGTAAAGAGATCAAAACAACTAGAGAATTATACTAGTTAACAAAATCCATCCTGTGATGAAAATGAGAAGCTCTGCCGAGTCAGTTATGTGACTGATATAATCAAGGCAGCTGCTTATTTTTAACATTTAAAACATATCTATATCTATATTTATATGTGTATATCCATATATATGGATATTTCTGGCTAGAGCAATTCTTGGTTTTAAGAATTTGAGCTTTTTTTTATGGCCAGGACAGTGAAGCAAATATATAATATTAATATATATAGATACTTTTTTCTTTTTTCTCTGTCCATATTACCTGTCATATAGCAAATGACTTATATTTTATATTTTAATATTACATAAAATTATATGACAACTTAGAAATATATTTTGACCTCCACACACCTGTGCCCCCACCTCCAAAGCCTCCCTCTCCTCAGTTAAATACTGGTGCCGGTTAGATGAGACACGCTTGGCCTTTTGGAAGCCATTGCTATGACTTTCAAAACAGAGGTTAGAAACCCGTAAGACTTTGAGGAATAATGAAGTCTTTGTAATCAATAAAATTCCTGAAAAATATATAAGCAGGTCAGATTCAGTGGCAAGTGAGAAGAGTACACTGAGACCCAGTGGGAACAATTTGATGATCTCATAATACATAAATAAATTCAAACCTTTTGGATTTACTGTCTCTCTGCTCTCGGACTGGTTGAATCAGGTGTCTTGAGTGACACTACACTGGAAACCGGATTTGGACTGGGATCTGTGGTATGCTTACCTCCAGAGTCATCCTCCTCCTGTCGCCGCCATCAATTCTTTGAAGAGATGGTCTATAGAAAATTGCAATTCATCCATTTGTTCTTTGACTCAGTAAACAGTTTTTACTGAACATCTTCTATGTGCTAGTGCTTTATGAGACCATGGAAATAATACGATTAATGAGACAAAAATGGTGTCTGTCCTTGTGGAGCTTACAGTCAGTGGATTAGGCTGGGAACCAGTACGAACAACTCAGTTAATTCTGAGAATTTGTAACAGAGTGTTTGGGTCTTGGGATGCTTTTCAAAGTTGTGACATTTAAGCAATTATCTGAAAGGTGAGAAATCAATATACAACATGATGGCAGTGTGAGAGCCCCCATGAGTCTTCTAGATAGAGATAAACGCATTTTAAAAGACCCTGAAAATTCGAGTAGCTCTCTAAAGGAGTTAGATATGGGTGGGGCCAGCTTCATGGCTGTGCGACTCAGAAGGGTGTGTGCTTTATTCTCACCATCTTGAAATTCTGTTTTTTTTTTTTCTTTTTTGAGGTGGAGACTCGCTCTGTCGCGTGGGCTTGAGTGCAGTGGCATGATCTTGGCTCGCTACAACCTCTGACTCCTGGGTTCCAGTGATTCTCCTGCCTCAGCCTCCTGAGTAGCTGGAATTACGGGTATGTGCCACCACACTGATTAATTTAGGTATTTTTAGTAGAGATGGGGTTTGCCACGTTGGCTGCGCTGGTCTCGAACTCCTAACCCCAGGTGATCTGCCCGCCTTGGCCTCCCAAAGTGCTGGGATTATAGGTGTGAGTCACCGTGCTCAGCCCATCTTGAAATTCTTAATAATTTTTGAACAAAGAGCCCCGCATATCCATTTTTGCCGGGATGCCTCCAATTATGTAGCCAATCCTGGGTGTGCAAGTGGGATCTGGAATGCTTTGGAGGGTTTTAAGGCAAGGAGTGACATGAATCTCAAGTCCCACAGGAGCACTGTGGTTGTGATGTGAAGAATGAAATGATGGACATAGGTGTCGCCCTTGAGGAACTAAGGGTACGGCTGGTAATGCCAAATCTGGCCAAGGCATTTGTTAAAAGTAACACATTATAGAAATTTATTGAAGAGGAACCTCAGAAATTGGAGGTTGGGCAGTCATCTGATAATATCTCCTCGTTGGGATAAACTATAATCTCTTATACAATCCCTTCCAACCTTCTTCTCCCTGAGTTAAGTACCACGCAGATCCCTTTGCCTTTTCAACTGGAGGCTAGATTTCTTAAATCGATTAAGAAGCTCAGAAATCTGAAAGCTGTCTCTTCCCATTTGAAGCCTCAAAATATCTTCTAGAATTGTTTGATATCTGACTCAACATTAGAGGCTCCTGTGTTAGGTGGGGCTACCTTTCCAAGGTAGCTTTTCCCTCTTCTTTCCTATCATTCAATGAGCCCAGATGATTGCAATGGGGTTTTTAAGTTGTTTGCCTGAATCCCTGCTAATCGAGTTCCACGGACACACTGGAATAATCCAGAGACAGAGGCTGTCTCCTCTGCCTAATGCAGTGTTTCTGTTGTCTGTGTAGCTTCTGTTCTAGGCATTTCCCATAAATAGTATTTAATGACATTATTGGCAGACACACCACCCTTTTTGTAGTGTTTTATCTATCAGCACTGTCTGATAGGGCTTTCTGTAATGATGGGAATATTCTATATCTTATCTGCCTGAATGATAGCCACTAGCCACATGTGGCTATTAAACACTGACCAGAGTGCCACATAAAAATTTAGGGGACTAAAGCTTAGCAAGGTTATGTAGTTGTTGAATGTGATGCAGCCAGAATAGGGCAAATCTGAACATAAACCAAGATCTGTTGGTTCTCAGTGATCTTTTCCCTATATAACAAATGGGTGGTCTCATGCAACAATCATTCACAAAGTCTTACAGGACACCTATTATGTGTAATGGTCATTTTGGGAATGCCAAGAAATAAACAGCTCCAATGGGTCAAAAGGGGTGACCAAAAAGAAAGGAAGAATCACTCTGTAGACTCCCAAGAGCAGAGAAGAAACAAAGGAGGGTCCCTGTGTGGACCTCTGAGAACATGGAAGAAGGAAGGGAGGGGGGCCCTTTTGTTCACCTTCTGAAGTCCACAGGTGTTACCACTACTGTTGTACAATGCAGACACGTTCTGCATCTGTGTTCAACAAGCAAGGTCCTTGATCACTGGAGGGTCTTTATCATTTGACACATGCAGGCTACATGTGGGAAATCCCACTAATCCCACCCAAGGTCTTTGACAAGAGTGAGGCTGAGTAACCTGCCCAAGCCCACATAGCCATTAAGAGACCAAGTCCAGCTTGAAATCCAAATCCTGTTGACTTCAATATCAATCAGGGTGGCAGTGAGTACAGACGCTGCAAACCACATCTGTGCACCAACCCTGGGGTTCTTGGGTGCCAGGGTAAGAAATTTTGATTAATCCAGTTGGGATCAGAAAGCCAGAAAAGCTTTTAATAAAAGTCTCCATGGAAGCTACTTAGGAAGTAGGAAGAATAAGCTAGTGGAGGTGGTAGAGTGGAAGAAAGAGAAATCACATGGTAAGTGTTTACAAATTAGGGGCTCCTTTCACGCACATCCAGAAGATGTCTCGGAGGTGCTGGGGACAATGGTGCCATCAGTGTGTCAAGGAGAGGAACTGCTCTGGGAGTCTGCAGGCAGGCAGTAGTTCCTTTTAGACCGGGAAGGTGTGAGCTGACAGTAGACCAAGCTGTGAAAACATTCATCTGGTCCTTGATGAACACAAGCCACGTGACCTAACCATGCTTTTAGGGTTTGGAGGTGTCTTGGTCTGTTTGTGATGTCTGAGACTGGGTAATTGATAAAGAAAAGAGGTTTATTTAGCTCACAGTTCTAAAGGTTGTAGAAGAAGCATGGTCACAGCATCTGCTTCTAGTGAGGGTTTCAGGACGCTTCAACTCATGGCAGAAGAAGAAGGAGATGTGTGTCCCATGATAAGAATGGGAGCTAGAGAGAGAAGAGGAGGTGCCAGGCTCTTTTCAACAAGCGATTCTCTTAGTAACTAAGAGTGAGAAGTCACCCACTCCTGAAAGAATGGCACCAAGCCATTCATGAGGGATCCATCCCTATGACCCAAACACCTTTCACCAAGCCCACCTCCAACAATGGGGATCAAATTTCAACAGGAGACTTGGCCAGACCAAACAAACCATATCCAAACCACAGCAGGCAGGGAGTGAGGTGAAGGAATGTGTGCAAGGCCCCCAGCCACACTTGGAGGTGAAGTGTGTCCAGGCAGCATGCATTCAGGAAAAGCAAGAAGGCAGAGAAGTTCCCACCAGGAAAGTCAGAGCAGGTCCAGGGTAGGGAGTGGAGAGAGGGTACCAAGGTGGGCCTGGGCCGTGTGCTGATGGAGCAACATTATATAGGGGAAACGCGGGAGGCTGAAGATCAGAAATAGACTTGAAGGACACGAAGGAGGTCACTGATAACTTTTAATAGTTCTCTTTGGGGAGTGCAGTGTACCCAGATAACACAGGAATTTAAGGGAAAGAGGAGCACCTTCCATGGCAGCAGGAATGGATCGGCAGTGAAAGGAAGGACAGAAAAGCAACAACTAGAGAGAAAATGAAGTCAATGAGAGTTGTTTTGACATAGAGGACACTGTTCACTATGGTGTGAAGACGGCAAGAAGTAAAGCATGTATCACATAGCATAGATTATCTTCTAGTGATAGATGAAATACTTCACAATAACTTTAAAGTTATTTTGAAGGTAAGACTTCTCTCGTTATCTTTAAAAAATTTTTCATCCATTTTCACTTGATTATTATTCCAGAAGCAGTATTTTTAAACTCTGGTAATTATGACTGGGATTGACAGACAGATCAGTGAATTAGAAAATCCAAAAATAGGCCTACATGTGAGTGTGGATCTAATAAAATCCACAGTTCATAACAATGAGGGAAAGTATGGATGACCTAATAATTGACTGTTTGGAAAAAAAAATTAGAGTATAATTTCATGTGGTATGGTAATATGAATTCTAGATGACCACAGACTTAGAGTCATGAAAGTACTAAAAAAATTAATTTAATAATAATCTAGGCTGGGCACGGTGGCTCACGCCTATAATCCCAGCACTTTGGGAGGCCGAGGCAGGTGGATCACGAGGTCAAGAGATCGAGACCATTCTGGTCAACATGGTGAAACCCCGTCTCTACTAAAATTGCAAAAAATTAGCTGGGCATGGTGGTGTGCGCCTGTCATCCCAGCTACTCAGGAGGCTGAGGCAGGGATTCAGGCTGCCTGAACCCAGGAGGCAGAGGTTGTGGTGAGCCCAGATTGCGCCATTGCACTCCAGCCTGGGTAACAAGAGCGAAACTCCGTCTCAAAAAAAAAAAAAAAATCTAAATATAACAGAACATAGAATCCTAGCTCACGATTATAGGCCATCCTGACTAGAAGGCAATTTTAGGTGGCTCTTTCAGAAACCACCTGATGAAGAACTAAATAGCTTATGGTGGGAAACTGTTCTGTACTCCCTGCACCCATTTAAACCTTTAGAAGTGTAGTAAGAGTGAGTTAAACTCAAAAGCGAAGGTAGCTGTGAATGGTTCCTAACACACACTTTTCGGTTGAATGGGCTTTGGAACTTTTCAAATTCCATGGCATCCTTCAGTTACAGTTTTGTTTTTTGTTTTTTTTTTTGAGACGGAGTTTCGCTCTTGTTACCGAGGCTGGAGTGCAATGGTGTAATCTCGGCTCACCGCAACCTCCACCTCCTGGGTTCAGGCAATTCTCCTGCTTCAGCCTCCTGAGTAGCTGGGATTGCAGGCACGTGCCACCATGCCCAGCTAATTTTTTGTATTTTTAGTAGAGACGGGGTTTCACCTTGTTGACCAGGATGGTCTCGATATCTTGACCTCGTGATCTACCCACCTTGGCCTCCCAAAGTGCTGGGATTACAGGCGTGAGCCACCGAGCCTGGCCCCCAGTTACAGTTTTGAAGTATTGTGTACCCAACAATGTGCCACAGCTCTCTTCCTCTAGTAATTGAGGAAAATTATCAAATATCTGAAACGAGTCCATTCTTAGTCATTAAGTCATTTGCATCCAGTGTCCATCTGTAACAACCCTCATGATTTGCCAAATATATCGCTAAGATATTCCACATGCCATGTGGACAAATCACTTGATATTATTTAAAGGGCCTTAACTGCTATTATCAGTGTCATGTAGTAATAATGTCTTAAAACACACACACACACACACTCTCTCTCTCTCTCTCTCTCTCTCTCTCTCTCTCTCTCTCTCTCTCTCTCTCACACATGGCTAGGCATGGCAGCTCACATGAGTAATACCAGCAATTTGAGAGGCTGAGGTAAGCGGATCTCTTTAGCCCAGGAGTTTGAGACCAGCCTAGGCAACAAAGTGAGACCCCCCATCTCTACAGTAAAACAAACAAACAACAAACCTCACAACCACTCATTTCTAAATTCATATCCTCATTTGGGTACCCTTTATCCTAGCAGTTTGTGTGGAAAATAAATCTTATACTCTGCCAATACCTTCACACCATGCACTTAGAAGATATATACACCAAATAGGCATTGCTTGGTTTAATTTCCAATCTGAAGGTACTTCGTTCATTATTGCATCACAATATGTATAATATTAAATACCAAGTAGTGAGAAGATGACACTGAGAAACAACTTTTATTGTCACAGCATCTCCTTCCCTCAATGCCGATGTAGCTAGTTTCCATGTATCCTGAGTCCAACACATATTTTCCAGTCCTTACCATGACTCACATCAGAAAATTGTTAACTAAACACCTCTTCTTTTGTAGCATGAGTTTCCAACAGGAAAGCATCATCAGCCACTTTTTCCTTGAATATATATTACTCTTAGTCCAAGAGTGAGTTCAAAATTTGCTCTATCAGTGGTTTAATCCAAAAGCAAACAGAAGCCCTGCTACCACCCCCACGTGATGTTGCTCACTGTATGCTGTGCGTGCCCACTTTATATGCTATTAGTACTCTGCCTCATCAAACTTATGTCTAATGGTTAAAGAGTTCTGTCAGTCACTATGTATCACTCAGAATGGACTACGTTATGCTGCAGTAACAAATGACCTCCAAATCTTACTCAGACAGGTTTATGTCCCGCATAGGTCAGCTAAAGGCTCTGCTGCATGCCTTCCTCACCCTGGGACCCAGACTGGTGGAACTTCCATTACTGGAACCACAGTGCCAAGTTGTCATGGCGGCAGGGGGAGAGACAGCATGATACATTGCATACCAACTCTTGAGCTGTGTTTCCACTCTAATTTCCTGAAGCAGGTTATAGGGTCATGCCTCACTCTATGGGCAGCAGAGAGATACAATCTCTTGATGAGCTAGAAAAACATAGCAAACAGTACAAATGATTTCTACAAGTGTATTCTCTTTCCTTTCTGAGCAGAAATGTTCAAAAACTAATAAAACTGGTTTTACAAACTTTGGGGGGGATATTTTGACCTAAACCTGATCCGGAGAAGGCTTTAAGTGTTGGTTGTGTGACCCTTTAGATAGAAATGTTCAGTTTAAAATTGGAAGAGCAGTATTTTGTATTTGTTTTAGGGTTTTAAAGGCCTCAACGGGCATATTAAAAAAGGCCACTATTGGAAAATGATGCAAAAGCTTTGCATCTCTGTTGAACAGTGTTTCTAAACAGATAAATCATTGTGGAGTAGAGGCAGATTTCTTAAAATCCAATTTAAAAATGTAACTCTGCAGTGGAGGTTATTTGTAGGAAATATATTTGCCTGTTCTTGCTCTAGAATATGCAGATCTACTGTGTATATTTGAACTACACTGGAGTCATCACTCTTATGTACATTTAAGATGTTATTTTGAGCTGTAATGTTTGTATTACTATTTTCATTACAGTTTTATTCTTCAATAGACAAGTTTCGAGTCAGTCATTCTTTTTTGTAAACTGAGAATTTAACCCAACAGAATAATGACAACAAAATAAAACAGCATTATTTTAAAAAGAAATTATTTGCAAAGAAAATAAAACTTGCTAAATGAATTAAGGTAGACTTCGTTATAGAGAATGGATATATTTGATAAAAGTTGATTTTCAAATATATCAGTTTTTTCTACAATGTTTAACAGAAAATGTTTTTTCATTGGGCAGGTGGGTCAGGAAGGCAATGTACCAGGAAATTAAATTTAGAATATCTCTGAGTTAAGTATTTAGAGGGGAAATAGCTTATGTGTCCCAGAGATCCTGTACTATGAAAAAATATAAACAAAACTCTACTTCCTCAGTGATAGATAATGCATGGGACCTTACCTCTCTGATTCTCAGAAATTGAGGAAATTATCTGGAAATGTGAAACCTTGGAATCTCCAGAAAACCAGATTTTTTTTCTCTGTGCAATCAAACAATGTCCCTCTCCATAGCCCCAACTATGTTTCCCCCCTTTATGCAAGAGCTACCTCAATCATTTAAGTGATCTTCCTTCCCTATACAAACACTTTCACTTTCATGTTCCTTTTTCAATGAATAATTGGGCAAAGTATGCGTAACATCTGGATTCGAGAAGAGTTCTCAGAGCTGGGACAAGATGGGGTCCCCCTTTTCCTGATGATTTCCCCAGAATTGAAATCTGGAGACCTGCATTCTCAGATGCCAATAAGAGAGGGAGAGATATGGGAACTCAAGAGGATTCCTGACTCAGTTTACTGACTCTCTCACAGGACTGCAATAACTGGCCTGCTTCAGGAAGTCACTGTAGAAACCAGAAAAGGTGGGTGGCTCATGAGCACTGGCTTTGACTCCATGCCCCTGTTTACCTGTAGACCCAATGAATGCCAAGTTTTGATGAGTAGCATGGTCCCTTCTCCCACCCGAGGAAGGATCTTGGAGGAAGAAAGAGAGAGAAAAGCTGCATACATTCTCATCACAACTCCCCTAGATGGGGGAGAGAGCAAAATCCACTCTTCTATGGGCCAAAATATGAAAAGATAGAGAAAAATATTTCTTCTGGTAGACACTAGTGTTAGTGACTTAGAAAAGAGTGGTAGCAGTGAACAGCTTGGGTGTGGTGCTGGGCTCACGTTCAAGGGGCAGCAACTCCACAGTCAACAAGAACTGGCTAAGTTGGATGACACGGAAATGAGCAATTCTTATGCATTAAGGGGGATGACAGACTGAAAAACAACCTGTGAAATGGGCAAAAATATCTGAAATATATAACTGATCAGAGGTTAAAGCAAGAATGTATAAAGAGCTCTTACAGCTCAACAACAACAGCAACAACAAAACCACAAACAACCCAATTAAAAAGTGGTCAAGGGACTTGAATAGGCATTTCCACAAAGGTATATAATGGCCAATAAGCACCTGAAAAGATGCTTGCTGTAACTCATTGTTTGGGGAATGCAAATCAAAATCTCAACGAAATACTACCTCACACCTGTTAGGGTGACTGCTATTTAAAAATAAAACAGAAAATAACAAGTGTTGGTGAGGATATGGAGAAACTGGAACCCTTGTGCACTGTTGGTAGGAAAGGAAAATGGTGGAGCTGCTATAAAAATCAGTACTACAGTTCCCCCCAAAATTAAAAATAGAATTGTCTTAAGATCCAGTAATTCCACTTCTAGGTATATCTCCAAAAGTACTGAAAGCTCGGACTTGAAGAGACATTTATATACCCATGTTCATAGCAGCATTATTCAAAATAGACAAAATGTGGAAGCAGTCCATATGTCCATGATGCATGAATGGATAAGCGAAGTGTGATCTGTTCATACAATGGAGTACTATTCAGCCTTAAAGAGGAAGGCAATTTTGACACATGCTGTAACAGCGATAAACCCTGAGGATATTATGCTAAGTGAAAAAATCTAGTCTCAAAAAGACAAACAGGTTCCACTTATGTAAGGTACCTAGGGTAGTCAAATTTATAGAGACAGAAAGTAGAAGGGTGGTTGCCAAGGGCTGGAGGGAGGGCAAATGAGGAGTTATTGCTCTATCAGTACAGAGTGTCGGTTGTGTAAGATGAAAAGTGTTTTGCAGATGGATGATGGTGGTGGTTGTACAAAAATGTGAATGTACACAATACCACTGAAATGCACACTTAGAAATAGCTAAGATGATAAACCTTATATTGTGTATATCTTACCACAATTATAACATTAAAGTAAGTAAACAATCAATCAAAAGAAGGGGGCAGCAGCTCCTTCCAATTAAGCTTGGGTGCTAAAAGTCCAGGTAATGTAATGGGTATTTTACGGTAACGTGAAGAGGAAACAGGGCTGCTCTCGTGCTCTGGGGACCATGGAGGGATTTCATGGGAGACCACACAGGGTAACTGCCATTCAAGAAAAGTAAAGTAAATGATGTCAGGAGGAAGGGAGGGACAGAGAGAGAAATGGTGAGCAAACGCACACGTGAGCCCCAGGGGCAAATGCACGCTCTTAGTTTTTGCAGGAGAAGAAACTCAATTGGGAGGTGAAATTCAAAGGAGGCGCAAATGCTGTGTGTGAGCTGCGGCAGACAAATGGTGCCAAGGGAAGAGTCGGAATAACGGTACGGAGAGGGAAGCTTTGTGGGTTGGGATTTTAACATATAAATTTTGAAAGGACAAAGTTCAGCCCATAGCACCCCTCCCCACCATACGGAACAGTGTGGTGGGGCCTTGGTGATTAATGAAAAGAGATTCTCCTCCCAGAAAAGCCTTGGAGTCTGTGGTGTGTTTTCCAATTGCCTGGATCTAAGGGATTGGAGATGAAAGTTGTGAAGGACACAGCTGGGAAGGAATACTGGGGCATATGGTGGAGTAATTCAAACTGCACTAACTAGTCCATGAGGAGGCATTAAAGGATGGAGCTGTGCTTGGGGAAGACACTTTGAGATGTGCTGTGTGGGTTCTATGGAAAAAGGGAGAGCTCGGAGGGCAGGAGAGGTAGTGATGGGTGACATATGGTTTGGCAGAAAGTGAGTTCAGCTGAGACAGACTGCAGATAAATAGAATTCTTGTGAACAAAGAGAAAACCAGAAACTCCAAGGCTGTCCTGTAAGGATGATCTATTTTGGAGGAGGGGACGCCGGACTTGAAGCTACAATTTTCTTCTATATTTTTCTTTCTTTGGAGAGCCTCTGTTAATTACCAAGGTCCCACCACACTTTCTGTATAGCAGAGTTCTGAGTTGAATTGTGTCCCACAAAATTCATATGGTGAAGTCCTAACCCTCAATACCTTGAAATGTGATTGAATTTGGAGATAGCACCTGTAAAGAGGCAATTAAGGGAACATGAGCCCATATGGGTGGGACCTAATCCAACATGATGTTTGTCTTTCTTAGACCAGGAGCCAGGACAGACACATGCAGAAGGAAGGCCATGTGAAGACACAGGGAGAAGACGACCATCTATGGGCCTGGGAGAGAGGCCCAGAAGAAACCAGCCCTGCTGACACCTTGATCTTGAACTGTGGCCTCCAGAATTGTGAGAAAAAATTTCTGCTGTTTGTGCCACTCAATCTGTGGCACTTTGTTATGGCAGCCTTAGCAAACTCTTACAGGGTGCATAAAAAATGACCCTTCTTTTGATGTCTTATAGGATGGTGGTGGGAAGACATTTAACACAGGTTTTTGGGTCAGGCATAGTGGCTCATGCCCATTATCTCAACACTTTGGGAGGCCAAGGTGAGACGATGGCCTGAGCCTAGGAGTTTGAGACCATCTTGGGCACCATAGCGAGATTCTGTCTCTATCAAAAATTTAAAAATTAGCCTGGAGTGTTGGCATGCACCTGTAGTCCCGGCTTTTTGGGAGGCTGAGGCAGGAGGATGATTTGAGCCCAAGAGTTTGAGGCTGCAGTGAGCTATTATCACACTACTGCACTTCAGCCTGGGTGACAAAGGAAGACCCTGTCTCTAAAAAGTAAAATAAAATAAAGTAAAGTAAAATAGGCTTTTGTAAAAGGTGAAAGACTGCAGCAGGGAACCCAACTCACAAACTAAAATAAAACTAACAACCCATCTCATGCGTAAAAGGGTCTGTTCAGGGATGGAAGCCTTTGGGTCTCCCTACTCCTCTATACCTACAAGGGGGAAGCCCTACAGTACAGCTGTGGGTATTTTATCATGGAATTTTATGCTCACATGTGCTGAGACCAGAGCTGGCATGCAGAACCACAAGGGGCCTGTGTCTGGAATTTGTGGCCGAGAAAGGAGCCATAGAACTCAGGTGTCACAACCACAGATGTCTCCAGAAACCGGTTTGGACATCCAGGGTCTTCAGATGGCCATAGTGTCCCTGTGAGTGTGCTGGGAAGGCTGTGCCCTGCAGAAGCATTTGTAAGCACTTGGACAAGAACTGTGTGTTTTGACATCCCTGCACTCTGGCCCCTGAGTGCAGCTAAACAGGCAGCTGCCATCCCATCATCTGCACGTAGAGAGTAGCGATGGTCAGAAACATTATAGGAATGCTCTTTGGCAAAGACTAACCCCCCAGGATGCTCCAGGAAAATAGTTTTGGACACAGGAATTGCCAGGTCTGGAGAAGCACAGTTCAGTCTCTCAGATGTTTGGAACATGACTAAATGTTTGGGTGCATGGTCCTTCATCAGAGGCCTTTAAATAGTTCACATTAAATCCTGATCCTGTACCAGACAGTGGCCAGTGAAGAGTTATCAGATCCACTGTTCTAGTAACCAAACACCCTGGGGGGGGGTTCTTTCAGAGATAAAAGTCAACCAGTGAGAAAGTTAAAGATTCACGTTTAGCTGCTGGAACTGCACTGCGCTTATGCAGGAGGAGCCCAATCTTCTTTGCTAATGAACTTCTTTGCTAATAAAGTTCCTTTATACTGGGAACTCATTTTCCTGATGTTTAAAACAGAAAAAAAGTCATGCCTCAGTAGCTGCAGGGATTGATTCTAGGACCCTCTGTGCATACCAAAATCCAAAGATGCTCAAGTCTTTTATATAAAAGGGTACAGTATTCACACACAACCTACACACATCCTCCACTACACTTTAAATCACCTTTAGATTACTTATAATACCCAGTCCCATGTAAATGCTATGTAAATAGTTTTATACTGTATTTTTATTTGTATTACTTATTGTTGTATTGTTATTTATCTTTTATTTTTTCCCGAACAATTTAATCTCTAGTTTGTTGAATCTGTGGATGTGGAATCCATTGATATGAAGGGCCAACTGTGATAATAAAAATACGTCTTGGTATGAATGGCCTTGAAGTATTTTATCAGTTTGAAAAGCAAAAAGGGATTAACTTTGCCACAGTAAAGCTCTGGAAGGCCCTGCCCACAATATGCATTCAGGAAGCCCCATGGGTGATGGTGGTAAAATGATAATGTCCCGGTAGCTCTTCTAGTAGGCATTGATCCCTGCACTAGGCATTCTTGAGACATTCTATGATACTACTGTGCCACATCCTTTTTCTTTTTTTCTAGTCTTGAAGTCTGAGCGACAGAATGACACTAGATGAGCCATTAGGTTAGATATTTAAAACGTTGGAAGCAACGTAAACAAATGAGTTGTCAAATGGGTGAAAGTTATGTTTTAACAGCCAAAACGCGATGAATATAAACACAGGGTCATCACAGTGCAAGCATTCTAGTAACACATAGAGGTTTGGCGGTTTCTATGTTTTTCTTCTTATGCTTTTATTCGTTCACTCAGCAAATACCTATTTTATGCCAGAGACTGTAATTAGGCAGAGGAATAAAAAATTGTAAGACAAGTCCCAGACTTCAATGGGCTCCATAAATATAGCCTAGAAGGAAGAGTCCAATGAAAAATAAATGACCAAATAAATATGATAAAGCATAATTAGATCCATAACAACTAGATTTGGTATTCATGATGTCAGCAGTCCATGAGCAGTCATGCAGGTCTGTGACATGCAGTGATTTTAATTCTGCTGAGGCACAGAATGAACTGATGGAGTGAGAATAATAAGCAGAAACAAGGCACCAAACAAGAGGAGACCAGCTGACTTCCTGTTGTTTGTGTCTCAGAGATGTGTGGTTCTCCATGGTAGCCACCAGCACAGCTGCCTTCGTGTGATAAAACACTTTCTCAGTATCATCTAGGAGAAACAATCTTGATAAAAAAGCCAGATACTACTGATGATGGAAATGAGGAGAAATTAAATTCTTCTAAGGAAGCAATTGCTCTTATCCAGGGAATGGAAGCATTTTGAGAGAAAAGATACACTGTATTGGACACCACCATGGAAAATCATGAAGTACTCAGAACATAGCCCTCATGAATAGAATGGGCTCTATTCCATGTGCCGTATGCAATGGTGAGTGAAAGACGTCAGGAGAAGATTCTTAAAGGAGGTGGTCTTGAATCAGATTCTTGGAAGATAAGTCACAGGCTAAGCCTCTGACTAAGTTCAAGTGTTAATAAAGACCTTGACCTGTTTGGATATGCAGGTTGAAAAACCAAAGGGACGTCTGCTTCTGGCCAAGATGGACTAATAAGGACTGGACTGACTCTCTGATGGGAAACAACAACAACAACAGCAACAACAACAAAAAAGCAAACAAATACCAGACAAAACATACAGAACAACAGTTTTCAAGACACTGGACATTGGACAACAAATAACAGTGATCTCTGAGAGACAAGAAATGAATGAAATGAATCCTATAATAGCCCCAGCTCACAACACTTAGTTTTGAGTTCATGACTCAAGGAGGAGGAATCCAGGAAGAGCCCAGTGAACTTTCCAAGTTGAGGAGAAAGAACTGAGAGTTTGGGCAGACTAAGAAAGCTAGGGGTCACAGGAGTAGAGTATCAAAGAGGAGAGTGGGGGGGGAGAGAGAGAGAGAGGAGAGAGAGAGAGAGAGAGAGAGAGAGAGAGAGGCCTTGAAAAAGAGTACTGATTAATTCACCTATGTAAGAGAATAAAAACAATGTGAGACCCAGGGAAAGGACTAGCAAAAAGAATTAGAGGGAACAATACTTTGTGCTCACACAGGAGTAATGCCTGTTTCCACCATCCAAACTGGAAAAACTCATAATTGAGTAGGCTAGTCAGAAAGGTCTTGACTCAGTAGTGGGCAATAATTAGCTCTAGACCAGCCTAATAAATCTTAACAACAAAATCAGAAAGGATCAAACTGTTTCCAAGTAATTTAACTGTACCATAAAACAAAGCTCAAAAATAATTGCAGGAAGACAAGATGAAATTCACACTGTCTAGCATCTAATCAATATGACCAGGCATGCAAAGAAATAGGAAAAATTACCCACAATGAGAAGAAAATCAATCAAGTGAAACAAACTCAGGCTGACACAGATGTCAGAATTAACTGACAAGCACATTAAAATGGTTACTATAACTTAATTTAAGTTAAAAAAGTTAAGTATGTAACCAGAAATCAAACCTATAGTAATAAAAATGACAACATGTGAGACGAAAACACATGGGATGAGATTAATGACAGGTTAGACCCTGGAGAAGAAAAGATTAGTGAACTGGAAGACATAGCAATAAAAATGATCCCAAGGGAAACACACAGAAAATAAAATAATTTTTTAAAAAATGAAGCCAGGTGCCATGGCTCCCAGCATTTTGGGAGGCTAAGAAGGGCAAATTCCCTGAGGTCAGGAGTTTGAGACCAGCCTAGTCAACATGGTGAAACCCCATCTCTATCTAAAAACACAAAAATTAGCAGGGTGTGGTGGTGCACACCTGTGATCTCAGCTACTGAGGAGGGAGGATTGGTTTAGCCTGGGAGACTGCACTCCAGCCCAGGTGACAGTGACAGTGTGAGAGTCCATTAAAAAAAACAAAAAGCATCAGTGCACTGTAGAACCACCAACCTTAAGTTGCTGTGTGTGTGTGTGTGTGTGTATGCAGCCCTTAAAGGAGGAGAGAAAAAAAGGGAGTTGACAGAAAAGAAACATTTGAAGAACAAACGACCAATGTTTTTCAAATTTGATGACAACAATAAACCACAGGTTCAAGAAAATCAATGAAACTGACTTACAAGAAACAGGAAGAAAATGACATCAGTACACATCTTACTGAAATTGCTCAAAGTGGCCAATAAAGAGACAGTCTTATAAACAGACAGATTTTAAAAACCAAGTTCTTTAGAGGGAGAAAGAGATGGTAACAGCAGAACCAACTTCCTGCGCACACAATCTGTGCAGCTGCACAAGGTCCACTTTGAACTGTCTCCATGCTTGGTTTAATGCCCTGCTGTTGCCATCTTGAATTTTTAAATAATTTTTGTGCAAGGGCTCTGCATATTCACTTTACACTGGGCCTCACTAATAATGTAGCTGGCCTCAGAATAACATGTATTTTATCAGAAGCAATGCAAGCAAGAAGACAGTGAAGCAATATCTTTAAAAGCCTGAGAGAAAAATATATCTGTCAACCCATATATCTATATAAAATATTTTCAACAACAAAGGCAAAATAAAGACTTATCAAATCATGTACTTTAAATGTGTATGGATTATTCCATGCTAACAACACTTTAATAAAATTGTTTTGCTAAAAGGGAAAACAAACAAACAGAACCCATTTTGGTAATGGTTGATGCTCTGCCCTTCAGCCTTCCTCTACATTTACCTGTTGCCTCGGGGGTGGGGGGTGGTTCCTATACCTGCTGACAGCACTCCCACCTCAAGCACAGGGATCTCTGCTTTGGAGCAGGAAGGTTTTCACAGGAATTGTGGCAGTTTGCTCAGCCTGTATGCAAGGATACAAGTGACAGGATTTAATGCTTCCAGGGGCAACTCTCAACCAATGACAGATGGGAATCAGTGGATAATACCCAAGATGAGGCAAATGAAGCTCAGACAGTATAGAGGATCTTCCCTATGCGCATTAACAAGAAGACTGAAATTGGGTCCTCCTGCATTGAGACAATGCTATTTTTCTGGATATGCCCAACACATTTTAAAAGCAAATCTAGAAAGTATCAAACTGCTTCCAAGTCATTTAACTGCACCATAAAACTAAGATCAAGAATATGCATAGGAAGACAGAAATCTTCAGCACCCAATAAGGTGAAATTCACATTGTCTGGCATCCCATCAAAATGGTCGGGGAGACACTGGGAGGTGTGCTCTACCTGAGTGTTTAAAACGTTCCCAGCAGGATTTGCCCGCAATAGTAACCCTCTCATTAAAGAATCCCATATTGGCTTCCCGACTTCTCTATCTTATCTTACTTTTTAAATTCCCTACTTTTGATTCCTGGAATCGTCTCTCAGATAGGAAGCCAGCACCAAGCGCTTGCCTCCAGGTGAGTTTTTGGAGGAATCCAAAACCAGGGCACTTCTTCTTGACCAACTTCTTGCACAGTCTTGCACTCAGAATTCCTGTTCTCTCCTAATTTAGCAACCTCTTGGTTGCTAAGCTTTACAGAAGATGCCTATCTTTTTTTAAATATATATTTTATTGCATGTTAGGTTTTGGGGTGCATGTGAAATCATGCAAGATTGTTGCATAGGTACACACATGGCAATGTGGTTTGCTGCCTTCCTCCCCATCACCTATATCTGGCATTTCTCCCTATGTTATCCCTCCCCAACTCCCCACTCCCTACTGTCCCTCCCCTAGTTCCCTCCCACAGACCCTAGTGAGTGATGCTCCCCTCCCTGTGTCCATGTGTCTCATTGTTCAACACCCGCCTATGAGTGAGAACATGTGGTGTTGATTTTTTGTTCTTGTGTCAGTTTGCTGAGAATGATCATTTCCAGGTTCACCCATTCCCCTATAAAGGACATGAACTCATCGTTTTTTATAGCTGCATAGTATTCCATGATATATGTGCCACATTTTCCCTGTCCAGTGTATCATCGATGGGCATTTGGGTTGGTTCCAAGTCTTTGCTATTGTAAACAGTGCCACAATGAACATACATGTGCATGTGTCCTTGTAATAGAACAATTTATAATCCTTTGGATATATACCCAGTAATGGAATTGCTGGGTCAAATGGAATTTCTATTTCTAGATCCTTGAGGAATCGCCACACTGTCTTCCACCATGGTTGAACTAATTTACACTCCCACCAGTAGTGTGAAGTGTTCCTATTTCTCCACATCCTCTCCAGCAGAAGATGCCTATCTTAATAAATCCTACTGAATTGTATTTTTCTTTGAATTCTCGATTCCTCTTTAACAGTCAAGCAATTTATATTGTAGCTTAACTCCTCTAATTTGACATCTAGATTTTCAGTGGCCAGTACATTGCCATCAGCCACATAGGATTATGGTGCTTTTGAAATGTGGCTAGACCAAATTGAGATATGCTACAGTATAAATATATATATTGGATTTCAAAGAATTAGTACAAAAAAGAACAAAATACTTCAATACTTTAATATTAAATATGTTGAAATTACTTTGGACATATTGGGTTAAATAAAATTGTTTAGGCTAATGTTACTTGTCTTATTTCACTTTATATAATGTGACTTATAGAAGTTTTAAATTTATATGCATAGTTCACATTCTAGTTGTATTAGGCAGAGGATTTTGTAATTGTCCGAGACTGTGAAGGACTCTCTCCTTTTGATTTATATTAATTGGTTACTGTA